TCATATTAATTAGATCTGTTGGTGCAATGCAATTGATATTTTTAGTTGACCAGTCAAAATGTTTATCAAGGTATGGATCAGAATTATCACTATCCAAAATCTTGCCTGTCTCATAAATCAATTGCAGGCATTTAAGATGCTTAACTCAATTTCACATTCTATGTTAGGAATTGAAATGGCTTCTCTAATTTTTTTGCAAGATTATTAATTCTTACAACTTTTTTATGCCATCAACTGTAATCAAATTGTGCTAAGGGGATGATATAGAGAATATCAAAAGCGACAAATTCCGCATTTTAATATTTTGAAATGGTTTTATTCATGGTTGCACCTCCCGATTTTTCATTTAAGTTTTCGCCAAATCACGGTGGCATACTATTCACAATGCAAGATGGAAGCATACCCGATTTGATTTTAAAAAAAGGCCCGATTAAGATTTTAGCCAAAATAATATTTAAGATTCGAGATTTGGCAAAGAGGTAAACCTTTCTACCATCTATGTGCAAAATCTCCAGGCCTACATAATATTATCTTGGAACCTTCATTATTAATAGACATAAAAATAATTGCATGTAATGTTATACCGAATTCAACAGATCCACAAACAGGGTATCTGTTTTTTAAAAAAAATGGATTATCAAGATATTGAATGGTTCGAACTTCTACCAAGTGTTTCAACGAGATTGCTTTAGTTAATGCTGGCTCTCAGAACACTTTATAAAAATTATATAGCTGTTTAATCTATTATTATTCTAAGAATAACTGAATTCAATAAAATTATTTTTTATGAGTTGCCCGATGATTATTTAGGCCTAGTTATTAATACAGTAACAACTTTAAATAACTTGTCTAAAATTCATATCAGGTCAATTCAACGAAAATTTTATTGCTTAACTAATATCAGATCGGATTGATATTTCGCGTTTTCAAATCTTTTTTAAAAAAATCGATCCGATATTTTTTACTTTTGGTTATTTTATAATTGTATATATAATCATAATATTTTTTTTTATTTTTATAAATAATTTCATAATAAATTAATGAAAGGAACTAATATATAATTTATTTGTTGTAATGTTTAAATAAAGTTTAAAATTATACATTATTTTTTGTTATATTATATGCAAAAAGAAAAGGATTTTCTAACAAGTCACATTCATTTAGTTTTGAACTCGATTTAATCAATTTTAAAAACGATTAACTCAAGATTTTAGCCAAGAGTAAATTACCCATGCTTATTGACCCCACAAGTATCAGAAAGATTTGGATTTCTATTGGCGAAATTTCGAGGCATAGGCTATAATATTTTGGTTAAAATCTTGATTTGACCGTTTTTAAAAATTGACTAAATGGAGCTGTTTAACCACCCATAAACTTTGTAAATATTTTAAATGAAAATGTTAACTTATAAAAAATAAAATACACTTAATCATTCGTGAAAGTTAGTTGGTTTTTTAAAAGTAGAAAATATTGATATATTAATGACATTGATAGATGGATGCTTAATGAAAATAAATATCGGATCGGTGAAAAATTTGTGAATCTGCACAGCCCCGTGCGTAACACTGTTATCGCGAATGTATTTGTGCCTAGTCATTATTGGGAGCGCATTCCGTGAAAGATTAAATATATTAAGAATGCATTTTTTAATATTAAATTACCCACAAAAGTTCCTTAAATCATAAACACGTGTTATAACCCCCTCCCCCCCTTGCTAAGATATGCTTTAAAAATTTGATCTTCCTCATGATTTGTAATGATGGAGATGATTAATAAAACAGTCGAAAGATATATTTGAGATTCATGTGGCAGTGACGAAGCGTCAGGTTCACTACTAGAGAAGCAATCAAAAAAAATTTTACTTTTATTTTGGTCAAACTCAAACCATAAAAACATTAAGATTTATAAATAAGTGGTATTCGTCTTTGTTTTTGAGTAAAATGATAGTACTGCATCATAAAAATTATTGCTAGATTTTAAATTTTTTAATAATTTTTTTTCAATCGAAATCAAAGATAGATTCGATAATCGATTTTGGCTCATCCTGTTTCTGTAATAAGATTTGATTGTTTTTAAAGATGAAAAACTCCGTTCTGCACTTGCTGTTGTTGAAACCAAAGTTAAGAAGAATTTGCATAATTTAAAAAACTCTTTAAAACTTTTCATCAAATCGGTGCATATTAAAAATTCAAGTATTTCATTAACATTTTTTTTCTTTCTAAATTCAACATCCCAAAACACTACCTTTAATTCGGTTTCCAACTTGTGTAAGTCGAAAAATTGAGAATAAGTGTCGTTTAAATTATATAATAAATATTTTGGGAAATTTTGATTATTTAGAATATATAAATTTATTAAGGTTAAAAAATTAAAAACTCCATTGAATCAAACTGCTGCTTTCGCTTTTATTTATTTTTATTTTACATTATTTTATGATCTATGCCTCAATATTGTCCTTTTGTTATTATGATTTTTTTTTCGTAATCGTTTACCAATTATACTAATATATTTTTCATTTTATAAATTATACAATTATAAATTAATTACAAGATTTAAATAAGATTTATGATAATAATTAATATCATCATAAAAATAAATGTTCAAAATAAAATAGTCTATTATCAAGAAATAGTTTTTGCAATTGTCTTCGCGATTATTGATTCCCGATTAAAATTTCGCTGTAATGTATTTGCTTTACAGGTCTCGCTAAAATTAAAATCCATTAGCGATAAAATTTCGCTGAATTGACATAGGACCGATAAAATTGCAAAAGAATTCAATAGCATTTAAGATGTTTTCACTAATAAATAAATTAATTGCAACTTAAAAAGCCCAAATTATCAATAACTTTTATGGCTTGATTGTAAGGATCATGTTAAAATCGCATCATGTCAAATGATGGTAATAAATTTATTAAAACAATCATTTCTTATTTAGAAAAAAATACGAATTTACAAATAATAATGAGAAAATCAAAGTATTAAAACGCATAATTCGAAGAAATTTAATTAATTTAATATAAAGATACCGAATTGGAAAAATTATTTGAAGAATTCATTGCTTTAAATTAATTTATAAAATAAAACATCAAATTTGGCTCATGAAAAGAAGGGGGTGGGGGCTATTATAAATATTTTTTCGTATAAATTTTATTGGAGATCTTTAGGTCAACTTATTGTAGACCTTTGGCTATATTATATTTAAAAAAAAATAAGTTTGGGTTTTCTCTTAATATTAAAATCCTTTTTTTAAAAAAATTTTGAATTATAGTGGTTATTTTAAAATTATTAATTTTTCTTTCAATTCTTCCTTATAATGATAAATTGTAATATTTTGGAGAAATTTTTATTAGCTTAAAATGATATTTACGAGGATAGACAATTCCCCTCCCCCTTTTAATTAGGCGCCTAAAATATAATTATAATAAATAACTTTATGAATAAATTTTTATTAAAATTAAATCTAATATAAATAAATCCCATATATTTTTTTAGACAATAAATTAGCCATGTATAAAATTAATAGTTTTAAGCAGGGACGAGAACCCTCCTTCTAAAAAAATGGGTTCGGTTTGGGTTCAGTGAAAAATCTCTGAACCCGGTTTGGGTTCAGGGTTCGGAGACCAGAAAAATAATGACTTATTAAAATTAGTTAAAATAACAGAAGCATCATTTTTTTAAAAAAATTTATTTTAATTAGTATCACCATAAAAATAATTTATCAAATTATAATACTACAATACAATTTAAAAAATTACTAAATATAACAAAAATACTTATATGAAAAAATGATCAAAAAATGTTTCTTAAAATTAAAAAAAAATCTTGAACCCTGAACCCTAAATTTTAAAAAAGGATTTGGGTTCAGCGAAATATTGAGGGTTCGGGTTCTCGTCCCTGGTTTTAAGTGAATAAAATTTTTTTTTTAATATATATAAATTCAAAATACTTTAAAAGTGTTCAGCTATTAAAATATGAAAACCTTGATAAAAATTTTAACATAATAACGAAATTTCAAATTATCACACTAATAAATAAATTCAAGATTAACTATTTTATATCAATGTATATAATATATAATGATTTTTACCTTATAATAATCATAATTTAATAATGAAACACAACAATCTAAAATAAATTAACAGGATACTTAGTTATATTATTTAAAATAATAAATATTACAATCAAGTATCTCTTTAAATAAAATGAAGATTTTGAAACTGATATTATACTTTTTGGACACATTTTACATTTGGTAAGGGTAAAATTGATTTATTGAAGATATGATGTTACTGTAAAGTATTTATTTGGGCCATGGTAATGTTAATTCATTTCTGAAAATTCAGAGATGATAATAAAATAACAACATTCAAGCTTAGGCTAATCTATAAATAATATCCTAGCTGGTTAAAAAATTCAAATGTAATAAAGGAAGCAGCTGATTAAAAAATATCCGTTTTTTATAAAAAATTTAGTATTATATTAATATTTTTTATTTTCAAATGATAGGAAAATTTTCTAAAATTAACGAACCTAAAAATCGAACGCGTTCGTTCAACGTCAAAAATAAGTGGAACGTCGTTCATTATTTTTCTCAAAAAACGAACTTCGTTCAACGTCAAAAATAAGTGGAACGTCGTTCATTATTTTTCTCAAAAAACGAACTTCGTTCACGAACGTGTTCCTTTACTAGATTACTTAATACTGTTGAGGATGTGTATTGAAAGAAATAAAAAAAAGTTTTTGTATAATTGAAAAACAATTAATATAAATATATTGATTTAAGTTCCAAAGCTGTCCAGGGAACGTTCCCAGGATCACCATTCCCTTTCCATAATTTTTCTCAAATTCCGTTCCATGTCTCTGGTTAAAATACAATTGTAATCTTGTTGAATTTTGTAATTTGTTTAAGATTACGATAATAGGCATAAATGATCTTTTTATTAAAATAAATGAATATTTCAAAATGAATAAATATATATATTTAAACATATTAATCAGCCATTTTACAAAACAGTCAGCATATCAGATTCAATCCATTAAAAGAAGAATGGATTTTGATATGTCCTCAAAGAATAAAACGTCCTTGGATGGGTAAAACTGAAAAGGAGCAGGAAAATAGAAATGTAACTGCAAATTTGACCAATCCTTTATTACCAGGAGCAATTCGTGCAAATTCTCAAGTAAGCATAAAATTTTTTAAATTTTAAAATTAGAAAATTAGGTCAATGAACACTATACATCAACCTATATCTTTAACAATGACTTTCCTGCAATGTTACCATTTGATACGTTAGAAAGTTACTTGATATGATTAATTAATGTCATTTAGTAATATTCCAATATAAAATTAAAATATAGTTAATAAAATTTGCTATTTACAAAACTATATTTATGTAAAAAGTTAGTGATGGTGGAGAATCGAAAGATGATTTGTTTGATTGGGAGAGGGCCTACGGTGAATGTAAAGTAATGTGTTTTTCCCCCAATCCTGAAATGACTTTAGCATTAATGGACTTAAATTCTATTGAAAATATCATCATAAAATGGATCGATTTTACAAAAGAGATGAGCCCAAAATATACATGGATTCAGGTGATTTAATTAATCTATTATAGTTTTGATTATAACACTTTTTTTACATTAGATTTTTGAAAACAAAGGAGAAATTATGGGTTGTTCTAATCCTCATCCACATTGCCAAGTAAATTATATATCAAAGTTAATTAATGTACCCAATATAATTTTCTAGATATGGGCAAGTTCCTTTTTACCAAATGAGCCTCGAATAAAAGATCGATCTCAGAGAGTTTATTTCCAGAAGCATAAAACTCCATTATTACTTGATTACTGTCATCGAGAAAACGTTAATAAGGTAAATAGATTCCTATTATCAACAAAATAAAATAAATAATTTTTTGGGCGTGAAAGGAAAGACTGATAGAAACAAATGACTCCTGGATAATAGTCATTCCATTTTGGGCCAATTGGCCCTTTGAGACAATGGTTTTGCCAAAACGCCATATTTTAAGATTTTCAGACATGGACGGTAAAGAAATAAAAGGTATATTCAAAATTTAATTTCATGTAAATTTTTTAAAATGTGAAAAGATTTGGCTGATATCATGAAAAAATTATTAATTCGTTATGACAATCTTTTTCAATGTTCATTTCCATATTCAATGGGTTGGCACGGTTAGTGACGGATTAATTTATTCATAAGTTATCTTATTGATTTTAGGAGCCCCAACCGGTTCTAAATATTTGAACGAAAATGTTGATCACTGGCTTTTCCATGGCATGTATTATCCACCGTTATTGCGTTCGGCGAATATTAAAAAATTTATGGTTGGTTATGAATTGTTAGCTCAGGTACAACGCGATTTAACACCAGAAAAGGTTAACTATTTTATCAAATTTTTATACTTAATATGCAAAATGATTTTTATTAAATAATTTTAATTAAAATTAAAACGAAGGCTGCTGAAATACTGAGATTGCAACCAAATGAAATCCATTACTCCAAAAGAAATGCATAAGAACCACATTTTATTTTTTATAAATTTGTCAACAAAAAAATAAATCAAAATAAAGATATTATTTCCATAATCGTGTAGGTCAGCCAAAATTTTTGAATTTTTTCAGATTTTTATTGATCTAAAAATATAAAATTTTTAATAAGTTTATATAGTTTATTTTAAGCATTGCAAAAGAATTTATACAAAATGCTTAAACAAATACGAAAAAAAAATTAAGTTATCAAATTTCATAAAAATATAAGAGATGCACCGACTAATTTAATATTAGTTTGTAGAAACCAATTATATTACATTAATTTTTCTACATTATTATTTAATAATTTATCTTATTAATTTATTTTCTCATATATATATCAGATCTCAAATATTTTATCTGTTCAAGCAAAAAATGTCCTTGCATTAATGTTAAAAAGGAATTTAAAAAGAAATTATAGTTTTAAAATATCTTTAAATACTAATAAAAAAAATATATAAATAAATGAATTAGATACAAAAAAAATATTGTCAAGCATATTCTTTGAAAAAACGTTAAATATTTATTTAAAAAGAAAAATTTTGTGTAGCAAGCAGGATTGGGACATAGGTTTGTATTGAATATGCCATGCAATCCACATTTATCCTTCTTTTTTGTTTATGTTTTTTAATAGACATTAAACACTACAATTTATAAGTATTGGGTATATCTTAAGGTATCAAAATATAATGCTGTGTGTCGGTGCATCCCTGAATAACAAATCAATTTGATGGAAAATCAAACAAGATATTATTTCTTACTCATAATATGGGTAATAGTGTAGTAAAATATATCTATCAAATATATATTGATATTACTTCGTCGAATCTCAAAATCTGTTTGATGAAATATTCACCCAATTTCCTCTCGATCTTTGTATCGAAAGTAATAAGTGTACCGTTCTTGTCTAAACAAAAGTCGAAATCTGGCAATGGCTGGAGTTGCAAGTAAGGGGCGGTATTTGTCATGACAGGTTCTGAGGCATCGTCAGTGTTAGTAGCGGCCTTAATCTCTTTCATTTTTTGCTTACATTTAAAAAATATATAATTTTACAATTTATTTATTTGCAACCCTATTAGGGAGATAAAAATAAATGGACTAAAGATTATATAATAAAAATGCAAATATTTGATAAACATACCACATAATTTTCAGGTTATTATACATAAAGTAAATTTTGGGGTATACAGTAAATATTAAGGTATATATATAGAAACATAAAAATCTTAAAAAGCATTTGTAAATTTATATATAAATTGATCATTTCGAATATATTGCTAGAGCATTTTAGACCGATTAAAATTTTAATCTAATACCTATTAAAAATTAAGTAAAAGCTAAGAATTGATGTGTACCAAAAGAATATTTAAATTAAAAATGACATGAGCAAGATAAATTTAGTGAGTATATAAGTTTTATTTGATGGAGTTGGCTGGACTGAAAAGCAGAGGAAAAGGTTATAGGTGAAATAGAAATAAATGATAAGTAAGATGATAACCCCAATTGAGGATAAGATAAAGGAAAGTATGTTACTGATATGTTATGGAAAGGAGAGAGATAGTTATATTAAAAAAGAAATATGGAAGGATGTTATTGCCAAAGACTTCGAAGCCTAAATTTAAAGGAGAGCATATGAATGATAGATATAGGTGGAGAATTGGTATTAAGGGTCCCGAATGATATCTAACCATCAGTGACGAAGCGTCCATAGAAGAAAGGGAAGCATTGCTTCTCTTGAAATTTTTTTTACAAATTTTTTAAATAAACTTAATATAATCTTTGTACTATGCTAAATAAACTAAACTGACTTAACGTTAAAAAGATTAATATAATTTTTATAACGTTAAAAAGATTATTATTTTTACTAGGTTAAAAAAAGTTACTATTATTTTTACTACGTTAAAAAAATTACTATTATTTTTACTACGTTAAAAAAAATATATATGAGGGAAGCAAATTTAATATTGCTTATTTTTTTTAATAAATAAAGAGAAAATCATGCCATGGTATTGTGTAATTTTATACCATTAAAAAATAAGCATTAAGGAAGCATATAAAAAAATGCTTAATTTTTTAATAAATAAAAGAGAAACAAATTTTTTATATAATATTTTTTTCCTTACTTTTTTAAAATAAAAAATTTTTCGTTTTTAAAATCCTTAATTAATGTTTAATAATTGTAATTGTATTATTGAAAATTTATTAACATTATCATTTAGCTCAAAAAATTTTGATGCGAAAAAATTGATTATTGAAAAAGGAATACCAAAACCAATTTTACAAAACTTAAAAAAAGAAATCAAAACTTGCATCCGTAATTTTTCTATCGATAAATATGAATCGCTCACTGGATGTGAATTTTCTAATTCTCTATATTGTTGGTCATGCCTATTATTCCCAAAGGAAAAATATGTTTGGAATGATAAAGGATTTTCGGATATGAATAATTTTTCAAAGGCAGTTAAACGGCAAAGAATCAACCGCTCATTTGCAGTCGATAATTAAATTAAAAAATTTGGCCAAAATCGTATTGAAAATATGATAGATTCGATGCGCAATATCAGTCGAACAGCATAATTCTAAACTCAAATCAAATAAAGGAATATTAAAAATATTGATCAACTCTATATGTTTTCTTGGAATTCAGGAGCTCGTATTCCGTGGTGATGATGAATCTTCTAATTCAGTAAATAGAGGAAATTATATTGAATTAAATTATTTGCTCGCGGAAGAAAATTTACTATTGAAACATCATTTAGAAATAGTGCAGTTTTTATTGGACTATCAAGCAATATTCAAAATGATTTGATTAATTCTATTTCATATGTCTTACACACCAAAAATATTAAATTCGTCGAATTGTTTGATATTAGTAAATTCCAAATAATCAAAATTTCCCAAAATATTTATTAGATAATTTAAACGACACTTATTCTCAATTTTTTGACTTACACAAGCTAGAAACCGAATTAAAGGTAGTGTTTCCGGATGTTTAATTTAGAAAGAAAAAGAATGTTAATGAAATACTTGAATTTTTATATGCACCGATTTAATGAAAAGTTTTAAAGAGTTTTTTAAATAATGCAAATTCATCTTAACTTTGGCTTCAATAACAACAAGTGCAGAACGGAGTTTTTCATCATTAAAAAGAATCAAATCTTATTGCAGAAACAGGATGCGCCAATATCGATTATCAAATCTATCTTTGATTTCGATTGAAAAAAAATTATTAAAAAATTTAAAATCTAGCGATAACTTTTATAATGCAGTACTTGATCATTTTACTCAAAAACAAAGATGAATATCACTTATTTATAAATCTTAATTATGGTTTGAGTTTGACTAAAATAAAAATATTTTTTGATTGCTTCCCTAGTAGTAAACTTGACGCTTCGTCACTGCTAACCAGGGTTTAACATTTGCTCAAAATTCAAAAATCTTTACAGATCGTTGCTCTTTTGAAGATCAAAAAATGTGAAGATTTTTTCGCTAAAAAAAATTTTTTTTTTGTAAAAAAATCTTCCATAATTTTGAGAAAATATTTTGAGAATTTTATAATAAAATAAAATCTTTTGTAAGGAAATCTTTATTAAAACATTTTTGAAATTTTGATCTTAAAATTTTTTGGTAAATTCTTTAAAAATAAAATTTTTGATATATATATATTTTTTTATTTTATGTTAATGAAAATATTTTTTTTGAATAGTTTGTAAATGTGAGAATTGGTCATAATACCGACTGCATTTTTTTTAATATTTGGAATAAGTAATAATGATTATTTTAAAAATGTTATGTCATAATTTTAATGTTTTATATTTAATGTAAACTATAAAAGTGACAATTGTCATAATACTCATCTCAGATCATTTAAAAATAATTATAATTAAAAAAGGCTAGTTGAGCATGTTTTGAGATGGTTTCAGTGATTGTAAAGCATATAAAGGTGACAATTGTCATAATACTTATTTCACATATGTTTTAATTGAAAATAGAGAAAAATGATTATTTCAAACATGAATTAATATTTAATGTGTAAACTATAAAGGTGACAATTGTCATAATATTCATATCAGAACCTATAAAAATAATTTTAGGTATAAAATAGGCAAGAAAAAAATTTTTGAGCATGTTTCGAGATGGTTTTAATGATTGTAAAAAATTGTCACAATCGTTATTTTTGAACTTTTTTAAAGCAAGTAAGATAAAAATTTATTAAATATAAAATTAAATGAGGATGTACCATAGAAAAGTGACAATTGTCATAATCGTTATTTTTGAACTTATTTTGAAGCAACAGAGTAAAATAATAAATTGTAAACATGTTAAATTGAAATTTAAATGTGGATGTACCATAGAAAAGTGACAATTGTCATAATCGTTATTTTTAATCTTTTTTGAAGCAAAAGGGTAAAATTATATATTGTAAACATGTTAAATTAAAATTTCAGTGAAGATGTACCATAGAAATGTGACAATTATCATAATTATTATCTTTGAACTTTTTTTAATTTTTTTAAAGCAAATAGGTAAAAATGTATATTGTAAACCTGTTAAATTAAAATTTCAGTGAATATGTACCATAGAAAAGTGACAATTGTCATAATCGTTATTTTTAATCTTTTTTGATTTTTTTTGAAGAAATTATATATTGTAAACTTATTAAATTAAAATTTCACTGAAGATCTACCATAGAAAAGTGAAAATTGTCTTAATCGTCATTTTTAATCCCTTTTAAATTTTTTTGTTACAGGGTGAAATAATAAATTGTAAACTTGTTAAATTTAAATGTGGATGTACCAAAGATAAGTGACAATTGTCATAATGGCCATTTTTAATCTTTTTTGAAGCAAAAGGGTAAAATAATAAATTATAAACATGTTAAATTAAAATTTAAATGAGGATGTACCATAGAAATGTGACAATTGTCATAAACGTTTATTTTAATCTTTTTTGAATTTTTTTTAAGCAAAAGGGTAAAATTATATATTGTAAACATGTTAAATTAAAATTTCAGTGGAGATCTACCATAGAAAAGTGACAATTATCATTTTTAATTTTTTTGAACTTACAGGGTAAAATAATAAATTGTAAACATGTTAAACTAAAATTTCAGTGAATATGTACCATAGATAAGTCACATATCTAATTCTCAACTCCCTTTTGAAATTATTTTAATATATATATTTTGAAATTATCACATTACTCATAGTCATATCCATTATTTTTAAATTAGGTTAATATGATTTTGTTGGGAAACACTTAAACCTCTGGGCAGATGATAATAGTATCATATATGTTAAATTTTTTGAGCCAACCGGAATGGAGTTGAACTAGAAAGATGCATCAATATAAACATGATATTTTTGGGAACAACAAATTTTAAAATATTTTTTCTTTAATCTTTTAAATCAATTTTAGATCTTAGAAACTACTATTTGGATATATCTAGTAAAATATGCCCCCCTCTGATTATACTATTCATACAAAAAATCTATTTATATTGTTATCATCTAAATCGGTCATATATATGATTTTTATTTATTAAAATTTCAATGTAAACAATAACTTTATAATGAAATAGGTTATATAAATAAAATATCACATTATTTAACAATGTACGATTAAGCTTTATAATTAAAATATCATCAAGTATATCTTTGTCTAATTTTGTCCTTAAAGAGGTTACAGTTAGTGCTAATGCACTAAATGCTCTCTCAACTGAGACCTGGGTGCAAGGAGCAGCAAGAATTATTTGAGATAATTTAAATAATTCTGCATCTTGGTGTTTTCTTGAAACCCAATATTGCAAAATATTTTGGGAGGATGGCAATCTTTTGTTGTATAATAACGATTTTATTTTTAGTCTACTTGCTTTAAAAAAGTTCAAAAATAAGCTCAAAAAATTTTTTCTTGCATATTTTATACCTAAAATTATTTTTATAGGTTCTGATATGAATATTATGACAATGTCACCTTTATAGTTTACACATTAAATATTAATTCATGTTTGAAATAATCATTTCTCTCTATTTTCAATTAAAACATATGTGAAATAAGTATATGACAATTGTCACCTTTATATGCTTTACAATCACTGAAACCATCTCAAAACATGCTCAACTAGCCTTTTTTAATTATAATTATTTTTAAAGGTTTTGAGATGAGTATTATGACAATTGTCACTTTTATAGTTTACATTAAATATAAAACATCAAAATTATGACATAACATTTTTAAAATAATCATTATTACTTATTCCAAATATTAAAAAAAATGCTGTCGGTATTATGACCAATTCTCACATTTACAAACTATTCAAAAAAAATATTTTCATTAACATAAAATAAAAAAAAATATATATATCAAAAATTTTATTTTTAAAGAATTTACCAAAAAATTTTAAGATCAAAATTACAAAAATGTTTTAATAAAGATTTCCTTACAAAAGATTTTATTATTATAAAATTCTCAAAATATTTTCTCAAAATTATAGAAGATTTTTTTACAAAAAATATTTTTTATTTTGCTCAAAAATCTTTTTTCAAAATTTTTGTTAGCGAAAAAATCTTCGCGAAAAATTGATCTTCAAAGATTTTTTCCTCAAAATTTTGGGCGAAAAAAATCTTCAAATTTTTATTTGAAGATTTTTGTAAAACTCTGCTGCTAATCATTCATATGCAGGGATAGGATTATTATTATTTTTTCCATTCAAAATTTTGATTAACGCTAACATTTTTCATTAATTTTATATAACCCACAAAAATTTTGAATTTTATTTTTAAATTAGAATGCTCCAACAATTAATTAATGCATACCAGGAACTTGCACATACCGCTTTAATATTGGTCCCTTTTTATAGATTTATGTAGGTTAATTTTTATTAATAACAATCACTCACCCATACAAGTAGTGTGAAAATTATCTATATACTCCTGTTCTATTGATATATTAAAGATGTAATTTGAGTATCTATTTATAGATATATCTTAAAGGATATTGAGATAAATGATTAATTAAATACGAATTTATAATAAAACGAAAAATTTATCTGAAAAAATTATTTTACTTTATTAATTTGATAATGTTAAATATGCCTAAACTAACACCACTCTAAATGTTTTTCAGAAGATATATATGCTAAATAAAGTGATAAAATAAACTAATTTACCTGAAATGCACTGAATTAAAATAAAATCATAAATACTTTGAAAAGCAGGAGTAAAATTTTGACATCCTCTTCCTTTTTGCCCATCAATAAAGCTAATTTTTTGAGAGGGAGTGCAGTGTATAATTTAATTATACTTCTTAAGGGTGGTATGCAAAAGCACTGTTTCATTTCTTCAATGAATACATTCTTGATGTTACTTTGTTTCTAATTACAATAGAAAAAGTCGATAAATAAGTATTGAGATTATAAAAGTACATGATCTGGCGTTAGTGGCAAGAAATCCTGATAAACATTATCGAAATAATACAAATATGCTTCTAGTTCTCTATAATATTTTAAACATAAAAAACATTAATTTTACATCTCTTAATAAATGAATCATCTATCTCTTATTATAAATCAAAAATACTACTGAACTGATAATAATTAACATTTTTAAAACCCTTTATTCATATTATTATATTGGTCTCCCATAAATTCTCGCAATTGGTTATTTGTATTTTCATCTAACCGACAAGGAAACAATACATAAGATATCGCCAAGATAGATTTTATCTTTGTTTCAAAATTTTCATTCTAAATTAAAATTTGTTAGGATTTAAAAAATTAAATTTTGTTAGGATTAAAAAAAATGTATTTTACCTGGTGAGTAAACACCAATGAAGGGGTGATATCCCTTTTGTATAAACTATTCAAGAGAAGAATACAAAACCTGATGCTCTGCTGGTATTCTCTGGACATCATAGAAGCAAAAGCCGAATAATAGTAATAAGTTGCTTTACAGTCGTGAACCATAACCATCTAAAATTGGTTTAGGGTTTTTTTTAACAGAAAGAATGATTTAAAAAAATTTATATAAATACTTCTTGATCAGAATCAATTCCTTCTATAGATTTTAAAACTAAATGAAAATCACCAAATATCGCATTAAGTTTCAAAAATTGAACGTCACTGTAAATTCCAAATAATTTTGGCATTTGATAATATGAAGATTTGGTAAATTCTTTATATTTTATATTACTATATTTAAAGCTATGTTAGTTTAATATTGTTACTTGCAGTTTGAATAAATTCCATCAACAAGTGAAAAACGTAAGCAGATTTCCATATCTAAATATTATTGCAATTAAATGATAGTTTGTGATAGAATCAAATGTTTCGTATTATAATAAAATCAAGAAAAAATGACAAATAAATAAGATATAAATGATATTCATCATTAAAAAAATTATTAATCGTTATTTAAATTTTTTTCAATTTCAATCAGTTATAAATTTTAAATGATAAACCTATAATGAGGAAGAAGAAAGGGTAAAATTACAAGCTTAACATTCGAGATCTATGAAAGTAGGAGGGCTGTAAAAAATTATATTTATGGGCCGGCCCATTTTATATTTTAAAAAGTGTTATTCTTATATAGTGATGGAAGATCAACCGATTAACTCAGATTTAATTTCAATTAAAATATAAATTCAAGAATTTTAACCAAAAAATAGTTTTATTAAAAACAAATCGGCCATAAATTATATAGAATTTGGCTTAACATAGACAAGCTGCTTTAGAATGAGATCCTATTTAAAAATCCCGGTTATTCTTCATTCGCAGAGCCGGGTTGCTTCTATGAAAAATTATGATTGGATATTATTGATTTCCGCGTGGTAATTTTTATTTTGCTCTTTAAAATATATAAAATCTTTATATCATCTCCGGTTTGGAGTTATTAGCAAAATAGAAAAAAATTTAAAATTAGCGTTAATATTTTGTGCCTGACTAGTATTTATTAAGTCCTCAATCAATTTTGAAAACCACAAAAGAAACCGAGTTAAAACAAAATGTAAACAAGCTGAAATAAGCCAAGCCTTTGGAAACACTATTCTGAAGCTTATACCAACCATAAAGTAGTACTTAACTAGTATATTTTATTGCTTCATTCTATTTGATAAATCATTTGAAGGGGAAAAAATTAAAAGTTCCAAGTATCTGGTTTAATAATATTTTTCTTTCACCAATTTCGCCAGTCATAAACTTAAATTTATATCAATAATTAGTCCGTATTTAGTACATCTTAAAGTTTCAACCCGTTTGGTAGATAGTTTTAAGAAAAACCAATTATTGGCAAAAATAATTTTTACCAAGATTTGCATCATGCTAGAACGAAGAAGCACTGAAAATCTGGGTGAGCTAATTTAATATCTGATTAGTATTTAGTAATAATCAACAAAAAAACCCAATTATAAACACGAAATAAAAATAACAGCAAACCTTAGGTTGATTATCAACAAAATCACGAATTTTAACCCGACCCCTCAGATTTTTCTAAAATTTTTACTAGTTTTCGCATACATTATAACCAAGAAAAATATAAAATTTTAGCCTCCAGCTACAACCTGAGGTTGAGATAAAGCCTCTAAATATCAAAAAATGGAGCGTTTTGTGAAAAATGCACTCCCTTTAATTATAAATATCTTTAGACACAATTCTAGAAGCTTAATTTAAATTGCTTATATAGCTTAATGGTAGTCCTTTAAAGTAACATGTTAAATTTTGTTTATAATTTATATGTCGAAAACCAGAAAAGATCATAAAATAAAATCGACATTTTTTTCTCTCAATTATGAATAGGCTACAGAATTAACTAATAGCAAATCTTCAAGTTGGGCCGAGAACAGATTTAAGAGATATGGCATTTTAATCATTAGTCTATGCAAATATTCTTAATAAATATTTGATATTAATCAATAATTGTAATATAAGTCAAAAGCTATCAAATATTTTATGTTTAATATTTAAAAGAATAGTTATTAATGATCTGAGATTTTATTTTTGGTGGGGGGGGGGGGCTTGGTTAATTTATTTGATAAATTGAATCCTCATAAAAATAACTTTAAAATACAAATTAATTTTTAATTATAATTTATAGAAGACAAAATTTAATAAATATATTGCAAATTCAATCATTTTGACAATATGGAAATAATTTAATTTTAATTAAAATTTTCCCTAAGTAGCCTAAAAGCATGAAACTTTTGTATTCTGGGGATGGGTTCGCCGCTTTGAATAAAATATTTTTTCACATTCATCATCTTTTACATATGCATAATTAATTTCAGAGATATTTGGTTTATAAAAATTAAATGAATCTAATGTGTATAATATCTGATTCTTATATGAACGCTGAAGGTAGTTCTTTCTGCTAACCTTGTGGTAGTGTTTCCCATGGGCTATAAGAAAAAATGTCATTCCGATTTAATTCCAAAATCAAGTTCATGGATTATGAATTTTATTCATTTATTGATTAATACACCATCAGAAAAAAAAAACATTTTTGATAAATATTTAAAGTCTGATATTAAGAAAACTAATCATTTTAGTTTAGAAAAATAAGAAGTGGTTTTAAATGTGCAGTTTTACTAGCTCATTTCTATATCAATATGAGTTTCTTTAAAATTAGAATATAATTCCTTATGATTGCATAAAATTAGTAATTTATTCAATTGGTTCTCCCTTTTAAATTTTATTAATATAAAACGTTACCAGGCATCATACGACTCTTTTAATCGAAATTATGAAATTTTCGAATAATATCTATAAAATGGTCTCGAAAAACACTTCCAGCCTTTATAATATTTGAATTAGATAAAACTCCTTTTTCCTTGACCAATTTCTTTGCTACCTTGCCATGAACTCAGTCGTAGAAAATGCTTCTTGTGTTTAAGGTCCAAGAATTTTTATAAAACCATCACTATCTGAATTTTTCCATTTCGAGAATGTGTTGATTCAAATTTATTTATCAATTGCAATTATTTCACATTCATCTTTACTATTAAAATTATCTTCTAAAAAAATATTAAATTTTTTATCTCAGTTAATGGAAATTTTATAATGATTTATTCTGGTTAATCATCCAAAGAAGGCCTTAACGTATATGTTTATTCCCCCCCTCCAAACATTAAATCAGAGACCTGCGGCTCCAGAATTCCAGGTATGGCCGTGCAGCACTTTAATTTTTTAAAAATATACCCGGGCCAGGCCTAGAATTTTTTTAAAAAACCAGGGCCGGGCCGAATATTTTAAATCGCCATTATTATCTATAAAATATATTTTTAAAAAAATCCGGGATAAGCAAATAGTACTATTGCAGGATTTAAATACATAATATTTAAAAGATTTTAGTTTACATATATCACAATTAATAATTTATCAAATATTTATTACAATTGACTAATGATTAAAATGTATCTCCTAAGCCTGTGCTCGGCCCAACTTGAAATTTTGCATATTTATTAATTAATTCTGTGGCTATTCATAAAAAAATTGAGAGAAATAAAATATACCGATTTGTTTTATAAACATTTCCGGTTTTTGACATTTAAAATTTTTAAACAATATTTAACATTATATACCTTTAAAGGCCTACCAACTATATATATAAAGAAATTTAAATGATGCTTTTAGCTTAATTATATCCAAAGATATCTAAAATTAAAAAGAGAGAATATAGATCAAAATGCCCGGACCTTTGAGGCCCGTATCTCAGTCAATATTTAGAGTTGGAGGCGAAAATTTTATATTTTTCTAAGTTATAATATATGCAAACTCTAGTAAAAATGTTAGAAAAATATGTGGGGATAGGGTTGAAACTCATGTTGATTTGTCATGACCATATATAATAATAATTTTTATTTTATACATAATAATATCGTAAAAGGAACCAAAATTCACATTATTCTAAAAAGTAAAGATAGTTAAAAATGTAAATTTTTTGCTTGCGACAAAAAAAAGTTTTAAAATATCTAACGAGTCATTAAGCGAATGTTATTAAATGAGTTAATTTCATCAATTTTTAAAATAGCTATCTCAATATTTTAGTCAAAAGTAAATTATCCAAGCTTTGAGATTTTGGCTCCCGTTAGCAGAAATTTTTGGATATTTTAAAAAAATGAAAGCAAATTTTAGATATAAATAGACCTGTGTGCCAGCCGACCGCCGATATTTTTGGCCATGCCGAAAACGCCGCTGTTTATTAAAATCACGCCGACGCGTCTCCGAATTTTTTAAAAACAATTTCTATATTAAGCATTTTTAATTTAATAATTGTCAATATCACTGGTAATTATTTTATGTCAATAAAGATTTTGATGAATTCTTATTTTATACCTATTTTAACCAGAGTCGTTAAGGAGCGGCGCTACACTTTTTTAAAAACACCTGGAGCGCCCTAAATTATTTTTTAAATATTAATAAATCTATTTATTTGTAATTAAAATTTAACAAAAATGAAATATTATTTTATTTAAATTTATGCAATATTAAATGTTGAGGTGATTTTATATTGGTTATTCATCTAATCAGTTAAAATATTAAACATCAAGTTTTTCTTTCTTTTTATAATGAAATTTTTTGTAAAATCTTGAGTCATATTAATATTCATTTTATAGATATATGATAAAAAATAGTTTTTGATATTATGGATCCAGACATTATAGAAAAAGAAATCGAATTTCCATATCTATCATACAAATAATATTTTTCTCTTTTAAGAGTTAGATCTTAATGAAACGAATATTAGGGCCAAATGTTTATTATTAGTAAATAAAATTATTTAATTTTCAAAAGTAAGCAGCTTCAACCTAAAAAAGCACCTAAAAGTAAAAAAATCTTTCTTTTAAATACAAAATGATAACTATATATTTTTTAAATGGCTATAATTATTTTTAGGCAATTCATTATAGTTGAGCTTGGGTTGTTACTAGGGCTGTACCGATCCACATATTTTTCATCGATCCGATATTTATACTGATTTTTCACCACCCCCCTTAAACCAAATGTAATTAAGAAATCAATATTTTTTATGTTATGCATTTAATTTAATTTTTTTTATTTCTACAATTAAGACAAAATTATATTATAATAGGTAAAAAATAATATTATAATATGTAAAATAAATTTACATAACATAAAATAACAAAAAAAAAGTAAAAAGATGGGATCGAATCGGTTTTTACAGGTATCGGTCCGAACCGATATTTAATATCGGCACAGCCCTAGTTATTACATATAATGCTTTTTTAAATATATTTTAATTTTCTCATTACTTGTTCAACATCCTTTATTTTACTTTTTTTTTCTTTAAATTTAATTAAATTGTAACATTCAAATTAAAACTATACATTTAATATATTAATCAATTTATATTTTATTTAATCTTAATTCTATTTTTGCATATTTTTATATTAATCAGTAAAATTCAAATCCATTTTTAAGGTTAGGGTTCAACAAAAATAAAACAGTTAATAAAAAAAATTTAAAATTAATTATTAACTGCCAAAAAATTTAAAATCCTCTGCAAATGATTATAAGCTGCCTTTTTAATTTAAATACTGCCCAAAATAATAAAAAAAATTACAAATTAATTAACTGAAAAAAAATAAAATATATAACAAATGTTTTTTATACTGCCCATTTTGTTAAATATTTGTCCATTTCTTATTAAAAAATCTACCTTAATAATTTGATGTCTAAGATTTTAGTAAAAAATAAAATTGATTTTTATAAAACAAATTTCAATTTTATATATTTATATTTAGAGAGTACATGTTAATCAATATTCAAAAATTTTACAATAAAAAAGATATTAGCCAAAAAATAAAGTCTTCTAAATAAAAACAGTTATTAAATTTTAGTCAAAAAAATTATGAACCTTCAAAAACTGAAGGAGATAATGTAATCATTGATTATGTTATTGAGACACTAGTTCCATTATCAACCGTAGACCATTCTACCTTCGTCAAAATGATAAAAACGTTTTCCCGAAATGCTTTCTGAAGTATCTTATGTGTGTACTACAGCTGATTGCTGGAGTGGATTTAGAAGGTTAGTGTATAAAGATCTTCCTTGGGTGTACAGCTCATTGGATTGACTTAGTAATAAAATCTGCAGCCTTAGCCTTGACACGTGTTCAAGGCAAGCACATTTTCGATGTTTTGACCAAGATTATTATTAATATACATAAAAGTTTCAAAATTCATAACAAATGAATAAAAACTATTACTAGAAACTTGTGAAGGTGTTCATGTAATCTTAATTATTTATTTTAAAATTATATATAACTTTCCTTTTATTTTTTAGAATGTTTGAGGATAAAAGTTCTGAGATAGATGAAGATTTCCAATTTGTGGATGTTGATGATATCCTAAATAACAAGGCCGAAAGCTACGATTATGTACCACAATATTCACAATGTGCCTACCATGATATTTACCCCACTTCCCTCTAGTGCTGCTGTTGAGTACCTGTTTAGTATCTCTAAAAAGATTTTAGGGGAGAGGTATGGATGTTTGTTAAATTAAAATTTAGAAAATTATTACTTTTAAAAGCTAATAAAAGATTATAAATATGTTGATGTATCATTTTATATAAATAAAACTTTAAAAAAAATATATGATTTTGTTTCGTGTAATTTCTAAAAAAATGTAAATCAAAGGAGCGACTATGGAGTGGCTCCATTACTTGGAACAGAGCTAGCTCCTTTTAAAAGTTTAGTAGCAGGAGTTAGCTACATTTAAAAAGGAGTGTACAACTCTGATTTTAACATAATTTTAGAATTCAATCAGTCAAAAAACTAAAATTCCAAAAGTTACCATAATTTTAAATATTTTTAAAATGGGGACTTAATGATAGAAAGGGTATTTGATTAGGTGAATATGAACACCACTTATGATTGGGTCATGGGTTATATAATATGGTTACAGTGGATGGTATTAAATATCTTTTGTTGAAATCTTATCAAAAAAATAAGAGAAATTATTACTGTATTAATATAAATATGCAAATTGAATTTGATTTCCAGGCAGTCAATAAGCCTAGGTACAATAGATCTAACATAAGATATGCTAGATTGGAAGAAATATATTTAATTAATAACGTTATGAAAAGAATTGGGAAATACTATATCAACAAACTATGAATCAGATCTAGTAGAAGAACTATTAGGTTTTCTTTCAAAATTTAAAGAAACAGTTGAATTTCTATCTGCACAAAAGGGCCTACCTTAAACTTGGCATCATTTTTAGATGAAATTAAAGGATAGCAAATGATAATGATAACTCAGAAATCATTTCCCTAAAGGAAAATATGCTTAAAAATCTTATTTCCGGTTTGTGATTTGCAAGTAATAATAATTTATGTGTTGACTTCTCTTCTAGACACAAGATTTCAAAAACTGAAAATTGTGTCAATGTTTAATAAAAAAATTACACCATGACGTAATTTATTATGAAACATCTTAAACTTATTAAATATGATGATATTAGGGCAGTAAATATAGAGAAGGAGAATCAAGAAGAAAATTAAATTCTAATTATTTGACAAAATTAGCAAATGAACTTTCAACAAGTACAAATTATGATTCTACTTTAAGTGATTTAGAACAAGAATGCCATACTTTACTTGGTAAACACCATTCACAAGATATGGATGTTCTAAATTTCTGGAGAGAAAAGAGTTTCAAACTTCCTAATCTTTCCTTGCTAGCTAAAATATTCTTTGTGTTCATGTAACTAGCACATTTAGTTAAAGAGTTTTCTCTACCACTGGGTTGACATTGAATTCAAGGATATCATTATTATATCTGGAAAATTTAATTAAAATAAATTAATTTCATACATTATAATTATAAAATTAATTTTTATGAGTTTTCACTTCAATAATGATCTAAAATATGCCAACCTGTAGTATAGTGTATATTTCAATTTTTCTTAAAAAAATATATAACAGTACTTTACACCACCTATGTTGACAGTGGATAAAAATCTGCATGCCGATTAAATTTTTAAAACTCGCACTGGCCACCAAATGTTTTGTTGGCATTCAGGTCTAGATAACATACAAATATTATTCTCTATTTTTTTGTTACACCCCTGTGCCCTATATTAGTAAAAAAAACCTAGATTGGGTTAAAATAATTTTTTAATTCTAACAATAACAAAGCTACTTGAATTTAAATTTTACTTTTAAATTCATAACTTTTTGTTACTTGGTCTTTAAAAAATATTGAATCCGAAAACTTATATGCTAAATCTAGATTTTATTTCTGTTTTCCAACTAATTTTAAAATGTTATTTTGGCCTAGGCAAATTTTTATTATTAAGCTAGGTTAAATATTTTGTGTTTTAAATAATTATGACTACATGTATATTTTAAAAGAGAAATTGAAAATATAGGAAGTGAATGTAACTTAAATGATTAATCAAACTATTTTTTAATTGGTTAATAATTTTTTTTATTTTAGGTCTACTTGGGGTTGTAATTTATTTTTGAGCTTAGCCCAGATTTTAAAATAATCTTATTTTACACTCCAGCCATGCATATCTCTAATATGAAATTGATGAGCCATATTTTTTTTGAAGAAAGAAATGGGAATAAGATGATATCACATTTACAAAAATATTTATTTATCATTTCAGAATCATGTTCAGGTAATAAAATATAAAAGAGATGCTTGCAAAAATATCTCTGGTTATCACATAATTTGGCATTGTTTCATTTATGTTAAACTTATATTAAAACGAACTTAATTTTTTTTTACAGATATATCTTTTTATAAATTCTAATCATGAATGTTAAATTAATTTATTTTACTAGTTTATTAATTTCGTCAGTAGAATTTTGATAATGCATGTATTGAATGAACTAGGAAATATATATTATATTATAACAATTTCATTATTAATGAATAAACTTGATAGATAAAACTGTCTAAAATATCCCAAATCCATTGTTTAGGAAGATAGATCTGTCTTGAAATATCTTCTTTCATTATATAGGTAAATAATTTACAATGCATAAAATAGCTTTCTTCAAATTCTTCAAGGCTACCTTTTCTCTAAAATTATATTTAGTAACTAATAAAAAAGTATTAACATTGTTGAACAGGAGTCTGTATCGTAACTGATCATATAAGTATTCAAAAAAACCACTAACTAATTATAAATTTTTATATCATTTCTAAGATAATATTACCAACAAAATATTTATTTAATATTTCAACTTGTGGCATTTTTTGCTCAGAAAAATAATTTGATGCTATTGTTGAAAATCTAATTTAATTAAGTAACAAATAGTAATTCTTTTTTAGTACTCATCATAGGCATTCTGGATCTCATTCACCTTTTTCTCATTAATACATCGCTGAAAATTGTTAAAAAACTCAACAACTTGTTTTGGAATTGCTATATCCATTTTTTAAATGAAAGAATGAATTATGGTCCCCACACGAAATCGAACGCCTTTATTTAACAGCAAAAAATGGTGTCATATAAAGTTATTTTATTTTTTTTATTCAACACGCTTGTTTTTTTATTCTTTGACAAATAAATATTAAAAAAAAGTTGTTTATTTTTTTAATATATTTTTTTTATTTAATGGAAAATAATGGTAATTTTAAAATTATTTTATATGATGCTTTTATTATTTAATATATTTTTATTTAATAGGAATTAAGATATAATTTAGAACTAAAAATTTTTTACAATTTATGAGCAATTATGAGAAGAATACCTTTTCAAATTATTATATATCGCTTTCTAAGCCTCATCAATCCAATATATTAATATATGAGGAGGTCGGATTTTCAAATCTAGCTCAACAGACTTAATAAAAAAGAGAACCTTTAAACAAGGATGAAAGAGTAAACCAGCTAGTATATTTTTTTGTGTTTTATTAAATATAAAAGGGCATGACTAAAATACGCGTCCCCGAAAACTATGCGTCCCTAAGCGTCCCCGGTCAAACGGGTTTAATTTATATAATATTAATAAAAAATCTTATTTAGCTTTATAAGATGAGTTAAAAAATGTTTTTTATGATTTAAAAAAAAAATGATAACTTAGTAAAATTTTTAAAAAATTATTTTTTTAAATTAAAAACTACGCGTCCCCGGTCAAGATACATTTTTTTAAAAAAAATAAAAGCAGATTCATATTTAGCTCATTAAATGAATAGAAAATGTTTTTTATGATTTAAAAAAAAATGATAACTTAGTAAAATTTTTAAAAAATTATTTTTTTAAATTAAAAACTTCGCGTCCCCTGTCAAGATACATTTTTTTTTTTAAAATAAAAGCAGATTCATATTTAGCTCATTAAATGGATATAGAAAATGTTTTTTATGATTTAAAAAAAATGATAACTTAGTAAAATTTTTAAAAAATTATTTTTTTAAATTAAAACTACGCGTCCCCGGTCAAGATACATTTTTTTTAAAAAAAATAAAAGCAGATTCATATTTAGCTCATTAAATGGATATAGATATTTTTTTTTATTTTAAAAAAAAGTGGTAACTTAGTAAAATTTTTAAAATACTAATTTTTTACATAAACTAACTACGCGTCCCTACGCGTCCCCGGTCAAGATACATTTTTTTTAAAAAAAAAAGCAGATTCATATTTAGCTCATTAAATGGATGCAGAAAATGTTTTTTTTTATTTAAAAAAAAAGTGGAAACTTAGTAAAATTTTGAAAAAACACTTCTTTTTTTTCATTTTTTGACTAAAATACGCGTCCCTACACGTTCCCGGTCAAGATAGATTATTTTTATAAAAATAAATATAGAATCGAAATTATTAATACCATTTTTGGAATCTCCTTAAAAAACTATACACGATTCTATATTCATTTTTATAAAAATAATCTATCTTGACCGGGAAGGCGTATTTTAGTCAAAAAATGAAGAAAAAAAGTGTTTTTTCAAAATTTTACTAAGTTACCACTTTTTTTTTAAATAAAAAAAAACATTTTCTGTATCCATTTAATGAGCTAAATATGAATCTGCTTTTATTTTTTTTAAAAAAATGTATCTTACCGGAGACAGTTTATGTAAAAAATTAGTATTTTAAAAATTTTACTAAGTTACCACTTTTTTTTTAAATAAAAAAAAACATTTTCTATATTCATTTAATGAGCTAAATATGAATCTGCTTTTATTTTTTTTAAAAAAATGTATCTTGACCGGAGACGCGTAGTTTTTAATTTAAAAAAATAATTTTTTAAAAATTTTACTAAGTTATCATTTTTTTTTAAATCATAAAAAACATTTTTTAACTCATCTTATAAAGCTAAATAATATTTTTTATTAATATTATATAAATTAAACACGTTTGACCGGGGACGCTTAGGGACGCATAGTTTTCGGGGACGCGTATTTTAGTCATGCCCTATAAAATAAAAACAGCATTCAAATTCTCTTCATTTCAAAAGATTTCAAAAAATATCTTAGGGACTTAAATTAAGCTACCAAATAAGAAACATTTTTCCTTTGTTTTATATAACAAAAATCATAGCAACCAAAACTTTAGCCTACATTAGATATTCTCTTCAAAATCTTCCAAAAATTTTTTTAGGAACCCAATTAAACAAAACAGATATTAATTATATATTTAGAATGTTTATATAAAATTTAAAAATATATAGGAACCAAATACAATCTAATAGGGCTTCCAGAAAACAATATGATCAAGATTTCAAAAACTGAATAAAAAGCGATATCTATTTATAATTTATAATGTATTCTATTATATCAAATTTTATTTCTGTATATATATCTACAATTATGATATATTATTGTATTCTATACAAATTTCCTTTCTATATATAAATTTTCAATATATTTCTGAAATATAGAATAAAAAATATAAAATACTCTTGTGTACATGACAATATTATATCTTGTTCTTATATAAATAACAAACATTCAATATTTTTGACAAAAAAAAACAATAAAAATGATTATAAATGTTAAATTATTTTGTTTAAGATAAATTTATAGGAGGATTCATAGAATAGTTTTTTGCAATTATTGATGACCATTAAAAATAATATAAGAATCACATAATATAATTAATATTAAAATAAAGTAAATTTTTAGGTTTGAATGATTTAAACAAAGTATAAAACAGGTTGTGAAAATCCTATAAATGGAATATTAGGAGTAACATAATTAGCAAAGTTATAAAGTTAAAAGATATTTGAAAATATTATGATTTGACCGAATGGCGAGCTCAAAACCGACTACTTACTAAATATTCGATCTACCAAATTTGGTAGTAATATTATTTGGAAAATGTTCATTTTTTGTTAATATATCTATAAATACGTGCAAATCATTATCCCAAATATATTTTAAAAATATCGTGATTTGACAGAAAACAGATTTGAAACCGGCCCAATGACTAAATACTGTCTTGCTGGCGTTATACATGGAAAATTCTTTATTATTGGTTTATACGTGAACAATAACGTGTTAAGCATTATCCTAATTAATATTTTGAAAATATTATGATTTGACCGAATGGCGAGCTCAAAACCGACTACTTACTAAATATTCGATCTACCAAATTTGGTAGTAATTTTATTTGGAAAATAATCATTTTTGGTTTATTTATCTATAAATACGTGCAAATCATTATCCCAAAAAATATTTTAAAAATATCGTGATTTGACAGAAAACCGATTTGAAACCGGCCCAATGACTAAATACTGTCTTGCTGGCGTTATACATGGAAAATTCTTTATTATTGGTTTATACGTGAACAATAACGTGTTAAGCATTATCCTAATTAATATTTTGAAAATATCATGATTTGACCGAATGGCGAGCTCAAAACCGACTACTTACTAAATATTCGATCTACCAAATTTGGTAGTAATATTATTTGGAAAATGTTCATTTTTGGTTAATATATCTATAAATACGTGCAAATCATTATCCCAAAAAAAATTTTAAAAATATCGTTATATGACCGATAACCGATTTGAAACCGAAATACTGTCTTGCTGGCGCTTTACATAGAAAATCTCTTCATATTTGGTGTATAGGTGTATATTTAGGTGTTAAGCATTATCCTAATTAATATTTTGAAAATATTATGATTTGACCGAATGGCGAGCTCAAAACCGACTACTTACTAAATATTCGATCTACCAAATTTGGTAGTAATATTATTTGGAAAATGTTCATTTTTTGTTAATATATCTATAAATACGTGCAAATCATTATCCCAAATATATTTTAAAAATATCGTGATTTGACAGAAAACAGATTTGAAACCGGCCCAATGACTAAATACTGTCTTGCTGGCGTTATACATAGAAAATTCTTTATTATTGGTTTATACGTGAACAATAACGTGTTAAGCATTATCCTAATTAATATTTTGAAAATATTATGATTTGACCGAATGGCGAGCTCAAAACCGACTACTTACTAAATATTCGATCTACCAAATTTGGTAGTAATTTTATTTGGAAAATAATCATTTTTGGTTTATTTATCTATAAATACGTGCAAATCATTATCCCAAAAAATATTTTAAAAATATCGTGATTTGACAGAAAACCGATTTGAAACCGGCCCAATGACTAAATACTGTCTTGCTGGCGTTATACATGGAAAATTCTTTATTATTGGTTTATACGTGAACAATAACGTGTTAAGCATTATCCTAATTAATATTTTGAAAATATCATGATTTGACCGAATGGCGAGCTCAAAACCGACTACTTACTAAATATTCGATCTACCAAATTTGGTAGTAATATTATTTGGAAAATGTTCATTTTTGGTTAATATATCTATAAATACGTGCAAATCATTATCCCAAAAAAAATTTTAAAAATATCGTTATATGACCGATAACCGATTTGAAACCGAAATACTGTCTTGCTGGCGCTTTACATAGAAAATCTCTTCATATTTGGTGTATAGGTGTATATTTAGGTGTTTAACATTATCCTAAAAAATATTTTGAAAATATTATGATTTGACCGAATGGCGAGCTCAAAACCGACTACTTACTAAATATTCGATCTACAAAATTTGGTAGTAATTTTATTTGGAAAATAATCATTTTTGGTTTATTTATCTATAAATACGTGCAAATCATTATCCCAAAAAATATTTTAAAAATATCGTGATTTGACCGATAACCGATTTGAAACCGAAATACTGTCTTGCTGGCGTTATACATAGAAAATCTCTTCATTTTTGGTTTATAGGTGTATATTTAGGTGTTAAACATTATCCTAATTAATATTTTGAAAATATTATGATTTGACCGAATGGCGAGCTCAAAACCGACCACTTACTAAATATTCGATCTACAAAATTTGGTAGTAATATTATTTGGAAAATGTTCATTTTTGGTTAATATATCTATAAATACGTGCAAATCATTATCCCAAAAA